GCCAAGGTATTTATTATGCTTGGTCTCCCGCTCCAAACAGAGCTGATGGATGGAGCTGCTCCAGTTCCTATAAACAGCTCCGGCCTCCCTCTCTTCTGCCCCTCCCCACTCTCAGCCACCACAGCCCCAACTGCTTCTGGGCTTGGGGTGGGGGGTTGGTGGAGACGACCAAGGGAGGGAAAGGAGAAGTGAAGAGTGGGGGAAGGAGGAAAGGAAGGAGACGATAAAACAGGGTCCCAGAGGCAAGAAGAAAGTGATGGGAGGTAGAGGATGTTGAGAGAAGATTTTTCCTTTTTCTCTTCACTGGCCAGGCCGCCCACATCCTGCCTCCCCCTCTCTGTCCCCTGCGTCCCTTGCATCTGTCTGAGAAGTCCCTTGCCCCTTCTCTTTCTGAGGGCTGATCTTAATCCCCCGTAAGTGGTTAAGTCCTGCAGGGTCGGGGTCCTGCATTCCGGAAACCTTTTCTGAACTCACCTTCTGTTTGGCTCATGGGCCCTGGGGACACAGAAAGGACTCAGGTAGAAGCTCTTAGTCTGGTGGCAGATGAGGCAGGGATCTCCACCGCTGTGGCCCACAGCAGCCTGGGGCTGTGGAGGGAAATCAGGGCAGACTCCCCAGAAGAGGTGGTACAGGCCAGAGTTGAAACAGGGGTTTGGCAGGTGGGTCTGAGTGGGTGAGACATTTCAGGTGGAGGAGATGGGAGAGAGCCTGGTGTTGGGAGGTGGGGCACCCCATGGTCAAGACCGCTGGCTCTGGAGCAGGGCATACCTGGGTTCCAGTCTCAGCTCTGGTGCTTTACCGCTGTGGGAACTTGAGTCTCTGTTTCTTTAAAATGAGGTTGATAATAATAGAAATCTCTTCAAAGATGGTAAGAATTACATATAACAACGTACATCAAGTGCCCAGTGCAGGGCTGACCCGGAAGTGGTCACTAATCGTCAGCTCTGAGCACAGGGTTGGAGGTGGCCAGAGAGAGACGGACCGCAAGGCCCTTGTGAGCTGCCTGAAGGACAGGGGCACAGAAAGCAGACTGTGGCTCCTGGGCCCTGTTGAGGGTGGGGGTGACCGCCCAGGGGACAGAGAAGTCAAGGCAGCTAGTGGGCCGTGAGTGCTGCCTGCCTCCCCTCCTGCCCACCGGGCCTGTGAGTCTCCCGGAGCGCCATAGGAAGCTTACTGAGTTGAATGGGCCGGGTGACCCGGCACCGCAGGCTGAGACGTGGGTAGAGGACCTCCCCTCTCCCTGGAGCTTGCCGGATGCTCCGATGATCTAGTTGGCAGCTGCGTCCATGTTTGGCTGAAAACAGGAATTTCTGCCTCGCTGGGGGCCTTGGCCAGGTAAGCAAACTCCCCTGTTTGCCAGGAAAAGGGGTCAGGGACCCGGTAGGCTCCAGCTGGTGTGGAGGTCCGCAGAGCCCTGGGCTGAGCTCAGCCTGTGCTGTTGCCCCCCCTTAGGCCTTCCTGAGCACCTACTGTGTGCCAGGCCACTGAGTCACATGCCTTCTCACCCCCAGCCCCATCTATGACATAGGCATTTAAAATTTTCCTTTGGAGTAGGAACTGGGAGGTGAGAGGTCAGAGCCCGGAGAAGCTGCCTTGGAGAAACCTCCAGGATGTTTGGGGATAGAGGCGGTAGAGCATCACTGAGCTGGAATTTGTGGGAGAGGAAGTAGGGAAGAGAAGATGAGCACCCACAAAGGGGGTAGTGTCTGGGCGCCAGGCAGCTGAGAAGGGGAGACAGGGCCACATGAGGACAGGCACGGGGGTCTGCAAATTAGAGGGTGGGGGAACCCCTGCCCTTGTGACCCCACCTCGGAGGCCCTCACCCACCCCCTACCCCCACCCCCACCACGGGTGAGGGGGCTCTTGTCCCTTCGCCCAGACCTCGCAGCCTACACCGTCACCCTCCAGTTCCCTTCCAGAAACCGGGAATGCCCTTCCTCAAGGTCAGTCTTGAACTGCAGCCTGACCACTCGCTCAATTCTCTGGCCCCTGAGAGACCTTTAGCTCTCCAGCTGGGGAGGCCTCTGGGTATCAGGTATCAGAGCTGGATGCTCAGGGCTGGCTGGGGCTGGAGACAGAGATATGGGCATCATCAGAGTGATGGAGTGGCTATGACAATGAGGGTGGTGACATTCCTGAGGAAAGAGGGCCTGGGACAGAGTGCTGGTGATCACCACTCAGACGCCCCAAGGAAGATGAGCACATAGCGGAGTCCGAAAAGGAGCGGTCTGAGAGCAAGGTGGAAACCAGTGGGGCGGGGGGGGGGGCCCTAGATGCCAAGGAGAGTGTGCCGAGGGGAGGGCATGGGGGACAGGGAAGATGGGGTGAGGGACCCCAGCAGCTGAGGGGTCGAGGAGGTCCAGTCTGGAAAGAACACGGAGTCCAGCAAAGGACATCCTTGGTGACCTCAGCCAGGGCAGTGTGCGGGTAGGGAGGGCAAAGGCACCTGGGGTGGGTGGAGAATGGAAGGCAGGAGGGCAGGAGGAGGGGGCTACTTCACCAGCAAGTAAGAAGGAAAGGGGAAGTGGTTTAAGGGTCTTTTTACTATTTTTCAGATCGGCAACACTCCGACACAGCCACTGTGTGAAAGGAAGATGTGACGAGAGAAGGGAGGCCGCAGAGGGAGGCCCCCGAGGGTGGGCAGGACACGTAGCACGGCCTCTGCCATGAGGCAGGGGGCTGAGCACAGAGAGAACAGGAGCTACCCAAGAAGGAAGGGCTGGGTGTGGTCGGGACCTGTGGAGCGTGAGGGTCAGAGGTGTGGCAGGGGAATGAGGGCTGAGGCCCCACGGTCCAGGGTGCTGAGGGCCCAGAGCCTCAGTCTCCCCTCCGTGGGGTTCGCCATGAGCATTCAAAGACCGGGATGGAAGTAGAGGGAGTCCAAGTGGATGCAGTGATGCCAATGATCCGCAGCAAGGAGGAAGCTGGCAGGCCACACTGTTTCTCCAAAATTATATTTTAATACATTCATGTGGGTTATACAAAGAGCTGGTCCCCAGGCCGGAATTGCGGCCTGGCTCCTTGAGGTGAGAGCAGCATTGTGTAGTGTTTTCAGAGATCAGGCCTGAAGGGGCCCACACCTTGCCCTCCAGGCCTGGGGAAGAGTGTTTCTGGGCGGTGAGCACCTGTGGTTGTGATCCCAACCAGGACTGGGTCCACTTGGCTGTCCCACACGCCACCAGGGCCCCAGGCTGAGGCCAGGACACCAGCTTCTAGCCCCTGCCACTGACTCCCTGAGTCCTTGACCCTCTCTGGGCCTCAGTTTTCTTGTCTATAAAATGGGGCGGAGAGAAGGGTGTTTTCATTGTCTCACACTTTACCAAGCACCATCGTGAGCCAGACCACGGGCCAAGTATGGGTAAAGACGACAACATGGGTGAAGACAACAACAGAGGGTCTTGGGCTGACCCCAGGGCTTCCCGGACAGCCCATGATTCCAAGGGTGTGAGGAATAGGGGGTCATATCTAGATGGGCTTTTCTACCCACTTTGGTAGGGGGAAAGGTCCGTGCATGATGAGGACCCGAAAGCGTTTGGAGCCAGCGTTATCTTGTGATAGGACAGCTGGGAGAGAAGGAAATCACTCCGGTCCAGCCCCCAAATCCCCTTCACACCCGCAATGAGGTCTGAATCCACTTGTGTCACGGGCTTTACCACTGGCTTGTGAGGCTCTGAGCAAGTGCCAGTCTCTTCCTCAGCCTCAGTTTCCCTATCTGTGCAATGGGGAGGTTGGACTCCCCGGTCTCAAACTCCAGGCTGTGCTCAATGGACGAAGAGAGAACGCAAGAGCAAGAGGTGAACACACACCAGTCTGCAAACGAGGGAATAAGGGAAACTGAGGCAGAGAACGAGGCAGCCTGTGTCTGCCCGCCCAGGAGAGAGGAGGGAGAGGAGTGGGTGGGCATGTGCAGCGCCGGATGCTCCCAGGCCCTGCTCCCTCGATATGGGGCCATTTCCTGTCCACCTAACAGCCGACTGCCCCCGCAGTGGCAAAGGTCAGGCTGGGGAGACAGGCGGATTTGAGCCTGAATCTCAGGTCTGGCATTTCTTAGCTGCAGGACCCTGGAGGGAGAGTTCTGGAGTTCTTGTAAAATGGTTAAATCCCAACCTCAGAGGGCTGTCCTAGAGAGGCAGACGTGTTCCCGCTGCCGGCAAGCCTGGGGCCAAACAGAACCGGGTACCTTAGGTTCTAACTCCTGGCTCACCAGCCAGGGTGGGGGCGCTGGGAACGAACAGCGTGCCTGCATAGCGAGTTGGGGGGCTAGAGCAGCACTGGGGTGAGTGCCGGGCAGGGAAAGAGCCCGCTCGGAGCAGGAAGTGGAAGGGTCGGCCCTGGGGCCAGAACCCCAGGCTCTGCAGGAACCGATGCAGCCACATAGCTGGATCCAAGACCCACTCACGTGGCCGCTCTTCCGCTCACAAGCTCTTCGTGCGCCAGAGAAGCTGAAAGTCATTATGGGAAGATGTGACACACAGTCCGGTTGGACACGTCTCAGACAACTGTCCCTGGTCTCGCCCCTCCTGTGCTCTGGCCCCGCCGGGGCAGGACGCTCCGCGTCTCAGCCAGCTGGGGCCGCAGTGCCCCGGAGCCCTGGCCTTCCACTCTGCGTGGTCACTGCGTGGCTTCGCGACCCCCTCCCCCCCAGGACTTGGAGCTGCTTCAGGGCAGGGGTGTGTCTCCCTCACTGGCATCCCCCGCGCCCGGAGCAGGATGTGGCACAAAACAGATGCCTGGCCGAGATTTGCTGATGGGGCAGGTCGACCTCGCTCTCTGTCACTCCTGAAACTGGCCAACTTCCGGCCTGCACAGCCGGACCACACGTGTGGCCTGGGAAGTGGGTTGCCTACCAAGACAGCAGCACATGAGGAAAGGAGCCCTGGGCTGGGATGTAGAGACTCGCCGTGTGACCTTGGGTCAGTCCCCACCCCCGTCTGAGCTCCGGCTGCCCGGCTCACCTGGGCAGGTCTCCCGGCTGCGCCGTTCTGCCGCCCCCGGCTTCTCTAGGCTTTGTATTGTTGGCCGAACTTCTGCCGGCGGACACAGCAACAGGTGGCCAGGGTGGTGAGGAGGACGGCCGAGACCAGTGCAAAGGTGAGGATGATGATGAGGTTGACATTCTTGAGCCCCCCCTTCTCACAGTCCTCGGGGCGCACGTGGCTCAGGGCCACCTCCTCCTGGGAGCCGAAGCGGCAGGTCAGGTCCTGGGTGCCGTCCACGTCCACACGGCCCTGGTGCAGCTGGGCGGCCAGCCAGCCATTGCCGCAGCAGCTCAGCGGATTGCCCTGCAGGTAGAGGCGCCGGAGGCTGGTCTCCAGGCCACCCATGGCGCTGCCCGGCAGGAGGCTGAAGCTGTTGTTTCTCAGGTCCAGTACCTCCAGGGACACGGCCTGCGTCCAGGCGGGCAGGCGGCTCAGGCGGTTCTCAGCAAGATTGAGACGCTTAAGGCAGCTGAAGCAGGGCAGGTCCACTTGCAAGACGGCCAGCCCGTTGCCTTGCAGGGCCAGGACCTCCAAGGAGGCCTCCAGGCCTGCCAGGGCCCCTGTGACCACGTCCAGCCCGGGGTTCGCAGAGAGGTCCAGCTCGGTAAGCGGCGTGTGGAGGAAGGCCCCCGCCCGCAGCCGCTCCATCTCATTGTCCACCAGGTTCAGGATGCGGAGGGAGGAGAGGCCAGAGAAGGCCACACACCCCAGGGCTCCAGGTTCCCCCGGCCCCCCACAAGGCCTGACTCGGTTTCCCTGAAGGTTCAGCCTCTGCAGACTGGCCAGGCCAGCAAAAGTGTACGGGGGCAGGTCCTGCAGGGCATTGTCCTGGAGGAGCAGTGTCCGTAGAGACCCCAGCGCCCTGGAGGCCAGCGCCAGCGTCGCCAGCGCATTGTGGCTCACGTCCAGGTGCACGAGGCAAGGCAGGAAGGCGGCGCGCGGCACCGCAAAGCCTCGCAGGCAGTTCCGGCTGAGATTCAGGAAGCGAAGGGAGGTCAGGGGCTCCAGAAAGCCCTCGGGGACCAGCTCGATCTCATTGTAGCTCAAATCCAGATTCAGGAGCTGGGAGAGGGGGTGGCTGCTGGTGTTCCGGCTGGGGTTCGAGAAGGGCAAGGCCGACCAGCCCTCAGAAGGTGCGTGGATGCCCTCGCCGCCCTGGGGCGGCCCTGCAGGCAGCCGGATGAGGTTGTTGGACACGTTCAGGTAGATGAGTCTCGGGAGCGCGGCCAAGTCGGGGAAGTGGAGCAGTTTGTTCTCCCGCAGGTCGAGCCAGGCCAGCTGATACTCGGCCCGGGGCTCGGGGGCCGTCTGAAAGGCCTCAATACTGTTGCAGCTCAGGTCAAGTACTCGTAGCTGCTGCAGGCTGAAGTCGGAGATGCAGGTGAGGGAGTTCCTGGAGAGATTCAGGTGGGCCAGGTGGGGCAGGGCCTCGAAAGCACCGTCCTCGATGTCCATGAGCACGTTGCTGTGCAGGTCGAGCCGCTCAAGTGCAGGCGTGCCCCAGAAGGTATGGCGGGCCAGGCGGGTCAGGCTGTTCTCGGCCAGCGAGAGGGTGAGCAGGGCGGGCGCCTCCCCCAGCAGCCGCTCCACCAGGCCACTGTACAGGCTGTTCCCCGACAGGTCCAGAGATGTCACACGAGGCAGGGGGCCCAGGCCAGGGGCGCTCAGCACGCTGCCCGCTGCCAGGCGGTTACGGGCTAGGTTGAGGTGCTCCAGGTGGGGCAGGGCCTGGAAGACACCTGTCTGGATGAAGCTGATCTCATTGGTGCTCAGGTCCAGGTGTCGAAGGGCCATGTAGAAGCCCAGCGGTGAGGCCAGGATGCTCCGCAGCTGGTTTCCAGATAGGTCGAGGGCCTCGATGTCCCGCGGGAGCATCGAGGGGACCTGGAGCAGGCCAAGACCCTGGCACGAGACCTCCTTGTCGACCTGGGGTGGGTTGGGGAGGACAGGAAGAGCAGTGGGACTGAGTGGGTACAGCAGGGGGTGCAACCAGACACACCTTCTAGGAAGGATGCCTCAAGCACCACCCCCCCCAACTCCAGCGAGGCTCAGCTAGGCTTCTCCTCTGGCTCCCAAGATGCTCCACATTTCTCCCCCTCGAGCCCAATCCTCCCACATCTGGATGATCCCTATCTTGCTCCCTGCCCCCATCTCTGGCACTCAGTACTGTGCGGGGCATCAGAGAGGGACTTAAGGAAGTTTGATGGATACACAGACTCAGAAAAGACAGATGTGAAGACAAATGAACCCACAAAACACCCAATACTGACTGTTACCCCATTTCACAGGAAACCGAGCCATATATCACCTGGAGGGACCCCAAGCCAGTGAAAAGCAGGGTCGAGCTGGAACCCAGGGCCTCCTGGGTCACGTCCTGGGTTCCTTTTATGGGTCCAGAGAGTTAAATTTCCCCAGCGGCTGTTACACCAGAAACCATTTGGGGAGAAATGTTTCCAAAATGCGATTTGCACTCCTCTCACCGGTTTTTATTTTGGCCTCCTACCCTCAGCCCTCATTCCAGCCCTCATTCCATGGGGCAGAGCTCCGGGCCCCAGTGTCTGCCTTTCTCGCCACGGACCCCCAGCTGAGACCTCCTTTTTGCTGCTTCCACCTGCCCCACCTCCATCAGTGGCCTGGCCCTCCATGGCCTGGTCCAGATTGGCCCCTGGAGATGGGAGTGGGGGTGGGAAGCCGGGGGAAAGGTGGCCAGGGTCCCAACCCACATTCCTGGGTGACAAGACTATGGTTTTGCTGTGCGAGCCTCACCAAGTCCCATTACCACTCCGGGCTACTTATCCAGAAAGTAGCACCCTTCCCCAGTACCCACTCAGCATTTTACATTTTATTTAGCACGTTCAGGCCCATGGTCTCCCTGGAGCCTCCCAAGAGCAAGCACATCAAATATGATCACCCCTCTGTTCAGAAACCCAAGCCCAGAGAGGGCAGGGGGGCTCCGGGGTCACCCAGCTGAGGAGGAGCGGAGCTGGGGTTTGAACCCCTATCTTTTCACAACCAAAGGCCAACTTCATCCTTCTAAGCACATGTGCCTTCTGGAGCCTGATTTTTTTTCTGTGCAAATACAGTCTCCCTCTCACCTTTTCAAAGACCCCAGGAATCCAGCCTTTCTCAGGAAAGGGTCTGACTTCCACAACCACCCAGCTCAGGCCCACTCCCGCCCTGGGCTCTCTATATCCACGGGCCCCTTCTGACCCCTCCACCTGCCTAATGCCTGGCAACAGCTGAAAGAAAACCTTCACTCTGTGCTACTCTCTGCTTCCACCCCTCCCGGGCAAAATCCAGGACATTCAGCAGGGTTCAAGGCTGTCTGTAGCTCTTGCTGACCTGTCCTCTCTCCACCCAACCCACTCCGGCCCAGCCCATATGCAGTGACCACACCTGACCACTGCCCTTTGTGTCCTCGCACACCTACCTCTGGGCCTCCTCCCTGCTGTTCCCTGCACTGGTCACCCCCCCCCCCAGATCTGCAGGGAAACCTGGTGTTTGGTGTACTGAGCCGGGCAGGTGGGCCTCCCCTGGCCTCTCAGCACCCTGGCGCTCCCTCTCTCATAGCTCTGGCCTCTGATTGTGACAGTCTGTGTGGGACCTGACAGGCAGGGAGCTCAGAGCTAACAGGAATTGGTGTGGTTGGCGTGGATACCTTGGACCTGGCCGACAAAAGGCGCTCAGGACATTTTTTTAATGAATGAAAGAGTCACGGACATCACTGGCTTAGTAAAGGACTCAGGGATTGAACCAATCACCTTTCTGAAAGGAAAGAAAAGAGACAATCCATGTCTTCTAACTGACCATTAGAGTAAAAAGACTCTGGCTCCCCCACTTCCCTGATGGGGAGACAGAACCTGAAGATGGCAGTGAGCTGTGCAAGGTCACAGCGAGTGGCGGAGCCCCCCCCCCCCCCTCCGCAAGCAGGAACACCAGACTGGGCGGTGCTCCTTGCCTGGCCCAGCTCTTGGCTTCCTCCCCAGAGCTCCAAGGAGAGTGCAGGGGAGGGGAGGATGGGACAGAACTGCCTTCATCAGGCACCTGTGTGACTCTTCCTGCTCCTGCCAGTCCAGGGACTTGGCCCTACCACCCCCAGCCAAGCAGCTTCCTCGAGGCCTCCGAGGCCCGTGGATACCGCCACAGCTGAGCTCCCCTCTAAACCACAAGCCTAGGCCGGCCACCTTGCCGGCCCTGCCTGGCTCTTGGCTTCCTCCCTCACAACCTCTCCACCAGCTCAGGCCACTGGGCATGGCCTCCTCATCCCTCCCCTCAGCTCCCTGGACCATCCTGACTGAAGGAAGAAACAGCAAAAGGAAGAGCAGGACCACCCGTCATGGAGCACCAGCTCTGTGGCAGGCTCCATGGCTGAGTGCACAGAGCCCTGGCCTCGTTTAATCCTGGCACGTATTAGTGGCCCTGCTCAACCCCGGGGTGAGCTTCCCCCAGATTAGTCAGAGGCTCCAGAGTACCAGCGCAAGTTCCTTTTCCTTTTGGTGCCAGCCGAGGACCCAGGCTGACGCCTTCTGCACGGTAAATAGTAGCAGCCAGCATTTACTGAGCATCTGCTGTGTGGGGGGCACTGTACTGGCATCCACGAGACCCCACACCCCGTTTCACCTCCGGATATCAAAGGCTCCCAAGACACCAGCCCCTGAGAGCTGAGCCAGGACACAAAGCTGGCCAAGCCCAGGGCCTAAGACTTGCTTTCCACCCTGGTGCCCACGAGGCCCAGCGGGGGCTGCTGGTTGGCAGGGCGGCACCGGGCTGCCCATCCAGAAGGAAGCTTGAAGGCCAGGGTCGCTCTCAGAACTCTGTTTCTAAAGGCACCCACGGCTCCCTGAGCTCTGAGCCTCCAGCATGACAGACATAGCCAAGTTCAGAGCTACCCTTGACAACCTGCTACTCACTCTCTCTGGGATGCCAGGATGCCGCTGCCCCCATTTTTTTTTTTTTTTTTTTTTTTTTAAGGAAGGAAGAGGACTTGCCACCCAACTCCATTTGGCCTTCTGTGCATAGAAGGGAAACAGGGTAGAGAGAAGTAGCCGGCAGTAGCCAGCATAAGCTCAGGAGAGCTGGGTTCATGTCCTATAGCTCTGGTACTTCCTGTCTGTATGACCCTGGTGCGTCACATCTCTTCTCCCAGCCTTGGTTTCCTCCACTGAAAAGAGGAGTTCTTTGCAGGATAAAACCAGAGAAAGCCTTTAGTGTGGTGCGGGCACCTCACGAGCCCTTAGTATGTGGCAATTTCTTTTTACTATTTTGAAAATGATCATAATCCCTGTACTGATCTTCCACAGTGGTTCAGAAAGTGCTTTCCTGCCTATCATCCACCCAGAATCCAAAGCTCACCCAGCTTCCGTCTGCCTGTGGGGTGGTCCGGGCCCTTCACCTCTCTGAGCCTCTCTCCCCAGGTAGAATGTGGCGCTGCATTTGGGAATGTCTGAGGCCTCCTCTGCCGATTATTCTGGGATCTGGGAATCTCAGGAGGGCTCTGAGGAGCAAGAAGGGAGGTGGCAACAGCAGGGCACGGCCAACCCCAGGGAAGGGCTGCAGGCCCCTGCCTCCCAGCACTCCCAGAGGCAGCTGCCCCACCTGTGTCAGAAGCTTCCAGTCCCGGCTCCAAGTGGGGCTGCTGGAGGGCCTGTTGCTTCCCCAGCCCCGCTCCCGCCTTGACCTCAGTGACTGCCCAGGCTTATGAGGGGACCTACGTGGTCCCTCTTCCCTGTATCCTGCAGGGTCCCAGTGACTTCAGGGCTAGTCTCCCTGGCCAAGGGCAAGAAAAAGGAACAAAAGTAAATCAAACCTTGTCCCTGCCCTGAAGAAGTTCTTGGTCTGCCAAGTGAAACAGGCTTGGACCCATTCACCAGCTACCCCACGTGCTCAGTATGAGAGTCCAGAAAACGGCACACAGAACCAGATCAGCCTGGGAGGGGTCGGGGGGCGCTCTCTGGAGGAGGCAGCATTTGATCTGGGTAGCAATGAGTGAGAGGCACCCCATCAGGGAAGCAGCAGACGGACCCAAGTCAAGGACCTATTAGGAAAGGGGATTTGGCCACGAGGGACCCGGCCAGACCACCCCAAGTTCCCCACACATACGTATATTCTAGATCACCCCGAGGGTCCACTGCCCTGCGGGGGCAGCTGGGGGAAATAGAGTCCAATCTCAGCCCCACTGGTCCTAGTTGAATGCCCTTGCACGAGTCATCCAACCTCTCAAAACTGCAGTTTCCAACTCTATAAAATGGGAATAATGGTACTTACTGACAGGATGAAGAGTACATCAAGTATTTAAACATCCTAGTAGGTACTTATGAAATGCAAGGGTTAAATGCGTTAAACGTGTTCCCTGTCCTCTTCTAACTCCCCAGACTTCTGGCTTGTGGGGCTGGGGCAGTAGGACACCCTGGGGGGCTTATCCCGCCTGGGCAGGGCTTCTTACCATCTCACAGGGCACCTTGTCTCGCTGTTGGGAGGTGGCCAGGCCCTGGGTCAGCACGGCCAGGAGCAGCAGGATCTGGTGGCTCATGGCTCTGCAGAGGGTGGGGAGGAAAGGGAAACATTGTAAGACCCCTGGCTCCTTTCCTCTGCCAGCCCCCATTGCTCCCATCCTGCCCGTGCCTGCCTTCAGCGAGCCCCAGATCACAGCTAGAGCTGGACCAAAGGTGCCGTGAATGACCGTGGATGCTGGGGTCTGCAGCCTATCACAAAGGACCTCTCGTGCCAGGCCAAGGAGCTAGGCTGTCACCCCAGGCAGCAAGAGTTTTGAAGCAGGTGGGTGACTTGGTCAGATCTGGGTTTCAAAAGACCCCATCTGAGGGAAGACCGCCTGCAGGGGGTGAGCGGGAGACAGAGGGACTCTAAGGGCTGCCTGGGGCCAAGCTCAGGGCTGGGGTGGGGTCAGGTGGGGAGCCAGGCCTCTGACTGCATTTCCACCCAGGTCCTAAGCAGGTCCCCCATCTTAGTTTCTTAGGCCCCAAACGGAATTCCTCAATCTCCCCACCCCTAGACTTTTATTTTGCCCTTTTTCTTTTGATTTTCTGATTCTGGAGTCCCTGCCATTGTTTGAAAGCTGGGCCTGGAGCCCTGACAGGAAGCCCCGCCAGGAGGCCTGCCCTGCCCCCAGCACTGTTGCTGCGGACTTCCCCAGGAGCAGGCTCCAGGCCCTTTACTTTCACTGAAGTTACCACCAGCGCAGGGGGCCACTCGGGCCTGCTGGTGTTCTTTCTATGTACAACCAAGGTGGCGTTGAGGGGGACCGCAGAGTCAAAGCCCAGTGCTGCTAGGGGCTCACTTACTGAGGACCTGGCCCAACTGCTAGGAGTACACATCAAGTCTCTTTTATCTTTTCTTCTCTTTCTTTCTTTCTTTTTCTTTCTTTCTTCTTTTCCTTCTTTCTTTCTTTCTCTTCCTTCCTTCCTTCCTTTCCTTCCTCCCTCCCTCCCTCCTTCCCTCCCTCCCTTCCTTCCTCTCTCTCTCTGTCTCTCTCTCTTTCTCTCTTTCACACCTTAACTGAATGCTTCCTCAAGTCTGGCTCTGTGCTGGGGACTGGGGTCACAAATAAATGCACAGAAGTGACCAGAACGCATACAGAATGTTCATGAGGAAGGACACATAAAGCCCTCCAAGAGCACTGGACTCAGTCACCCATAACCGACTGCTCTCTCTTTCCCTCCACTTACCTGCTATGGGACCTGTACAAGTCACTTCACCTCTCTGAGCCTCAGTTTCCTCTTTTGAGATTAATGCCAACTTTGCTAGGTTTTGGTAAAGATCAAATGAGATGCATTGTATGAAAGTGCCTTTACAGAGCCCTTATTATGCACCAGGCACTCTTCTCCATACTTTAAGGCATTAACTCACTTAATCCTTACAGTAATTTAAGGACTTGGTGCTATGATTACCATTCCCATTTTGCAGATGGGGAAACTGAGGCTCAGAGAGATTAAGTAACATGACCAAAGACACACAGCTTACTAGTGGCAGGCCCACGCCATCTTTACCCTTAACCTCTACTCTAGAACATCACCTGCAGGTGTTCGATAAATGAGCGCTGAATTGCAGCTCTGAAGGGTGCTTTAGAAGAAGAGGCATCTACGGGACCCTTGAGGACTGAGTCTTTGACTGTTGGAATCCCCTAGTGTCCTGGTGATGAATTTTAAATTAAGATGGTTACTCTGAGGCCCTTGCTGGTCCACACACGCCTGGGGCCACAGTGGCGTCTTTTCAACCCCGTTCCCTGGGTTCAGCTCGGGGCCATGGGCCCCCTGCCCCGCACAGCTGCTCTTCTCTCACCGCCTGCGTTCACAGGAAATTTGGTTCTGCTGTTTAAAAAGCTAGACCATCACAACCCATTTGAAAGCTAGTGTACTCAGAATTGAATGGAAACCTCCTGTGGGACCTTTGCACTCCTCGGGGAGTGTGCCTGCCCACCCCAGCTCTTTCCCCCAGCTTCATGGCTCACTGTCTCCCCTCTTCCGCTCTGGCTTCTGGCAGCCTCTATTTCCTTCAGTTCGGTGTGCACCTTCGCATCGCTCCAAGTCTTCACTTCCTCCCCCCTCTTGTGCTGAATGCCTCCTCATCCTCTGGGTCTCAGCTTAGATACCGCTTCCTCCAGGAAGCCTTCTCTGATTCCCCAAGTCTGGGTAGCTCATCCTCCACGTTCCCACAGACCCTGAGCTTCAAGTGAGCACAGCACTGAGCACTCTGTGGTTTGTTCCGCTGACCCCGGCTCCTATGGGAGGCGCCCCGGGGGCAAAGAGGACTCACCATCCGCTGGGATCTTACACCACCGGGCAGGCCAGGGAGGCACTAAGAACCGACACAAGGTGACACTGGCAAGAGCAGTCCTTCTTGACTCTCTTTTCATCTCCCTGCCATACTCCTTACCCCCAACAGCAGGTTCTGTCTGTTCTGCCTGAAAAACAGACCCCGAGTCGGCTACCTCCCTCCTGCCTCGCTGCTCCGCACTGAGGCACCACCACAGCCCTGGGCCTCGAAAGCAGCAACACCTGCTTCCACCTTGACCCCCTTCAGGTTGTCCTCCACACACAGCCGGAGTGATGTCTTTAAATCATGTATCGGAGCATGGGTCTCACTGCTTGAGAACATCCAGTGAAATCCAGGCTTTACACAATCGCCTCCCCGGCCACAGCCACCGTTTGTCCCGCCCTTACCAAATTCTAGCTTTCCCACTGTCCCTCAAACATAGCAAGTGCCTTCCTGCCTCAGGGCCTGGAAGGCTACCCCCCAGATGCCCACACATTTTGTTTCCCCGCATTGATCATTTCCTGTTAATTTCTTTCTTTTTTTTTTTTAAGATTTTATTTATTTATTTGAAAAAGAGAGAGAGAGAGAATGAGCAGGGGGATGGGCAGAGGGAGAAGAACAAGCAGACTCCCCGCTGAGCAGGGAGCCGAATGTGATGCTTGATCCCAGGACCCTGGGATCATGACCTGAGCCGAAGGCAGATGCTTAACCAACTGAGCCACACAGGAGCCCCTCCTGCTCCTTTATTTCGGATTCTATGAGAACAGGTGTCTATTAAGTGGTGCTCACCAAACATCTATTGAACAAATGGCAAAGTGAGGGGTAGAAGCTCTACTTTGGGGGGCTGTGAGGTCAGGACAAGGAAGGACCTGGATTGGTTCTGAACCTGAAGGCAGGGCTGCTCAAAGGAGCCCTCACTACGCCCCTCTTCCGCCTGTCAAATTTCACCCTACCCCCAAGGTGGGCACCTGTGCATCCAGCAGAAGTCCCTGGCGCCCGTGGACCTCTGCCCTGGCATCTCATCTGCGGGCCCCCTTCAGTAGTGCCCCCGACTCGCTGTGGGGACCCTGAGGGCCACTCACTCTCAAGAGGGAGGACTGTGGTCACTTAGACCCAGGCTTACATTCAGACACTACTGCTTCCGTGCTCCCCGTGCCTCAGTGTCCCATCTGTACAGCAGGTCACCTGGTGGCTGTTCTGCCACTGGCTTCCCCCAGCCACTGTGACGATCGAGCTGAGAGTGGCTGTGAGGTGTCCTGGACACATCGTGGGCAATGACCCGGAGGGCTGAACAGCCCAGGTGAGGCACGCTGAGGAGGGAGGCCCTAGGCCTGCCGACTAGTAGCCTAGGCAAGAGAAGGCAGGAGACATTTTAGGACTCTGACTGGCCTCCCAAATGCCAAAGAATATCCGTGTGTGTGTGTGTGTGTGTGTGAGAGAGAGAGAGAGAAAGAGAGAGAGAAATAGTGGGGGGATGGGGAGAAGGCAATGCCTATTATACTATTATAATAAGCCTGTCCCTACTATTTCAGGGCATTAGACACTGTTCTAAGCACTTGATCTGTATGATCTTATTGAAGTCACAACGCATTAAGGTGGTTACCATAATTTCCACTTTACAGATGAGAAAACCGAGGCTCAGAAAGTGACTTAGCCCATAGTTCATAAGCATTTAGGGGGTAAGTGTTAGCCCAGGTCTACATGACCCAAATGCTGTGTTTTCTCCATTAGGTGCTGAGCTGCCTGCTCCCTCCCCGATAGAACTACTCTTATTGTGCCCAGGAGAAAAACAAGGCTCAGAGAGGTGACTTACCCAAAGTCACACAGGCAGTGAATAGCAGATGGAGTCAGAATCTGGTCTGTCTGCCTCCAAAGCAAATGTTTCCGCTACACCAGGCCAAGATCTCCCTCCTTAACCACCTCCAACGACTCCCACCCGCACCCCTATACACATAAACAGACAAGCTCATGGGGCTGGGCTCTGGGGTGCTCCTCTCCCTCCTCTCAGCCCCAGTCACCAGCAGAGTAGGGTCCTGGGAGAGCTGCTGCGGACGTTCATACCAAGCAGTGAATCACTAAGGGCAAGCCCCATTCTGGAGACATGTGCATCCCACGGGGGAATTAGACCTTAACCCAAAGGAATGTAGCTCTGATGGCGGAATTTCAGGCAGCTCGGGTGGGGGTGGGGGTCCCTCACATCTTACCACTCATGAAGAAGGCGGGCTTCAGAACCCCTCAGGGAGAGGTGGGTGCCCCCCCCAGTCCCCACCCAGAGATGGGCAAGCTATTTGGTGCGGTGGGATGGAAAGCGCCGGCCCGCCTGAGTCCGAGGGCGGTAGGAGACTTGGATTCAAATCCTGATCTGCCCTTGACTAGCTGTGAGTTCCCCGGCAAGTAAGTGCCGGCCTTTTGGCTGCTGTTTTCCCATCTGTCAAATAGGAACGCCGGCCCCTCCCTTCGCGGGAAAGATCAGCTGAGACAGGGTCCCGCTTGGCTCCGTGCGGGGAGTGGGGGCGACGGCGGGAGGGGCCTACTGGGGGGCGGACGGGGGCATCGGGATGGCCCGGCCACACCCCGCGCTCTCCAGGGGCGCGGGCCAGCCGGTTCCCCGAGGGGCCGGCAGCCTCGCCCGCGGGGCGGCTCCTACCTGGCTCAGCGCGGCCGCCGCTCCTCTCCCGCGCAGCCCCGGCACATCTTGCGCAAACCTGCCCCCCCCCACGGCCCCACCCCGCGCCAGACCCGGGGTCACGGCCCGAGGAGGCCCACGGCTGCTCCACTGCCCCACGGGAACCCGACCCGCGAGGGGGCGGCTCGGGCTCCAATTTAAATACCTCTCCCGCCGACCCGCCCCACCACGCCCCCCCCTCGGCCAAGCTGCGGGGTCCTAGCGCCCGGCCGGCGCGCCCCCGCGTGACTCGGTTTCTCCGGAACGCGCGAGGAGGTGAAGCATCTTTCCGCTGGAACCCCGGCTGGGAAGGGGCGGGGTGGCAGGGGGCGGGATGAAAGGGCCGGGAGGGGGGGGTCGCTAAGGAAGCGCTAGGCGGGCGAGGCCGCCCGGACCGCCGCACGTGCAGCTCGTGGCCCCGCGGGGTCCGGAGGGGCGGGAGTGGGGGGAGAGCTCTAGGAGCCGCAGGTCCGCAGAGGAAATCCGGCCTGGCCCCGTTTTCCCGTTGCCGGCGCCGCCGCACTTAGGGTGAGCAAACAGGAGAGGTGACGGCGGGGCTGAACGCGGAAGGAAATGACCCTTCTCTGGCCCTGGGGCGGCCACAGAGGGGGTTCCCCACACCGCGGCCATCCCCTCTGACGAGTCCAGGCAGGTCCCTTCCCCTCTCTGATTGTGCTCTCTCCTGTCCGCGCTGGCCTTCCTCCGGCATCTCCAGGACCCTTAAGCAGCCCTGTGAAATGGTACTGTCAAAGTCCCCAGTTTTCAGATGGAGAAAGTGAGGCTAGGGATGGGACAGCGAATATCAATAAAAACCAGTTGTCTGGGACTAGTAAGGTCCCCATTTATGTTTAGGGAAACTGAGTCTCAGAAAGGTTACATGGCACATCCAAAGTCGCACAGCCTGTAAGAGCAGGGATTCGATTCGAGCCCAGTCTGTCCACAAAGCTAAGTCCAGGCCAATCTGGCTGCTCTTTTCAGGCACCATCTTGCTCAGGTTGGTTTAAAGTGTCGGCAGAAAGTAGCATGGTGGTATTCTTGTCTTTCGCATTAGAGATTGACGCACATCTTCCCCTAAAGCCACCCCGTCTCCCAGATGCCTTGGCCCTCCCAAATCGCAGGTACTCTGCCCTGCTAGGTGTTGACCCAAGGGTTGGGGTACCTGGGAGAGAAAGGTCATGGCCATCCTCTGGGTCCTGGTTCCAAGGATAGAATGTTTCTCTTCCCAGCCCTGACAGTGACACCGGGTGCCCCATTTTACAGATGGGAAAGTGACCCCCCCAAAGCCTCATGGTAAATCAGGATAAAGCTGGGATCCCTGAATCCCTAGGTGGTTGCCATCTTTACTTCCTCCCATCTGTCTCATTGGGGACAGGCCTGCGCAGGTGGGGACAGTCCAGAGAGGTTGAAGTGTGATAGCAGGGGGCCCAGGGCCTAACCTAGGCTCAGCGGAGGAAGTCAGGGAAGTCTTCCCTAAGGAGGGGCCTGAACTGCAATGAAGGTGTGGGTAGGAAAGGGTGCAGGAATAGGGAAGGATGGCCAGACCTCCCTTGTCCCTCTCAGCCACTGGAGGCCTCAGATTTATGCTCATGGAGGTCCCAGCTGGTCACCCCAACCCTCTCTCTGGACCCTAGTGTTCTTCTGGTCAAATGGAACCTCTGTTTCCCTGCCTCTAAAGGGAAGAAGATAGTAGCTACTTCTTGAGGTTGGTGGAAGCCAGCAAAGTACAGCGAAGCCAGCCTGCGGCCTGGACCCAGCAGATGTTAGGTAACTTCTTGCTGTTTTTATTCGTGATACCTCCGCTGTAGTTGCTGGCTTCCTTTTCCAGATCCTTGTCCAAGGGGCCAGATGTCCAGAAAGTGCTTCGCAGCTTTGCTGCGGCATGGGCAGAGCATGGCTGAGCCAGATTCAGGCATCTCCTGGGTTCTCCCATGCGACCTTCTCCTGCCACATCCAGGCCCAGGCTGGCTGAGTGCCAGCTCATCTTTCCCTGAGCTGCTGCCAAGCAGAATCACTGGGCTGGCACAGAGCTTTGGCTGGTTTGGGGGTAGGGCAGAACTGGAGCTGTGACAGGCTGGGGGACAGGGCCTCCCACACACCCCCAAAGGCTGTGGTTGTGGTTAGTGAGTTCATGGAGTTCCACCTCACTCGGCGTCCGGATGGGGCTCCCCAAGAGTTGGAGATAGATGGGCAACCAAGTGTGCCTACCTGCTGTGGGTGCCCCTGGGGACGGGGGACTAAAAGCCAAGAACACCACGTGCTCAGCACCCCTTCCTTCGTCCTTTCACTTCTTCAGCACTCATGTTGCTGTGTGATTTTTGGCAAGTTGCTTAATCTTTCTGACCTCAGTTTGAGGATCTGCAAAGTGAGGCTAATAATATCATCTGACGTCATGGCTTGCTGTAAAGAATCAAATGCAACTGTGTGTGTAAAGTACCTGGGCAGAGGCCTGGCCCGTGGTACTTGCTCAGTAAATATGACCTCCCTTCCCTGATGGGCCCCAGAAAGCTGAGGAATAAAAGTGTCTGGGACCTACCCTTGTGGAGCTCCCAGACCAGATGGGAGGCCGATGAGAACATAGGATGATGGAGTCCAGAGGCCTCGAAGGCCGAGTCTAGGAGTCTGAGCTTGATCCGAAGGAGGGGGAGAGGTTGGAACTGAGCAGGGTCAGGGTTGCCTGGCAGCCATGGGGGGGGGGCGGTGGCTTTCTTTAAAAGGCCACCAAGGCCAGCTTGCCATCCAGTGTTGATTAGTCCCAGCTCGCGCACCTCCAGGAATAGGGAGTTCTCCTGAACAGCCAATCAGTGGGCAGCTCAGTCTGGACTGTGTTGGTATTTTTGTGAAAAAGCTTCCATTCCCTCATCCCTCTGTCAGTGAAGATAGTAGATGCGTCTTTTCCTGTGTCCTTAGGACTACCACCTTTAACTGAGAAGACCCTCTCAGGCACCAGGTTGGGCTCAAGGCTCCCTGGGAGGGCTTTACTTCAGGCCAAGATGAAACCCAAAAGTCTCAAGTAGGAGAGAGTGGCCCCTGAGACCACACAGGATGGCCCAGGAAGGCAATGATGTGCACATCCTGTGTGACCTTGGGCAAGTCTCTAAACCTCTGGGCCTTGCTGTCTTTGCTGAACCCCCACCATGGGCCAGTCTTTCGTCTCATGTGGCAAATCAGGATAAAAACAACCACAAAGAGCCTTTCAGTTAGGTGTCTTTATTATCAATTACTGACTAGGCAGCAGGTTCAGCGAGGTTAAGTAACTGGCCTGAGTCACACAGCTTTGGAGTCAGGAATTGAACCCCGGTCTCTGTACTCCCAGGCCAGATCTCAGTGCAAGGATATGGCCGTCCTCACTCCCTGCCCCTGCCTAGCGCCTCTGTGGGCCCCTGGGAGTCAGGAAGTCCCTTATCAGCCCCTCCTGGGGCCCTGCCTTCTGGGGCAAAACCCTGGGTTCCCCAGTTCTTTTACCGCCAACCCCCCCTTTGCTCCCTAGGGCAACTGGGTTCAGACCGTGCCAGCTGTGGGCCACGTCCTGGAGTCACAGTAGGAGAGGAAAGCAAATGTTGCGGGATGTCAGCTGTAGGGAGTTTGTGAGCCAAAAGCCCAGGTTGGGTGCTTGGGAAATTAGCACTTACAAAGGGGTCAGAGGTGTGTCCCTTGCTCTGAGAAATAGCTGATGTGTTAAATGGGAGTAATGAGGGCTTACAAGACCAGGCCCGGTGCTAGGTACTGCACTGGAACTCTCTCCTCCTCATGGCCATCTGATGAGGTGGGGACTGTTGTTGCCCCCCTCTCACAAAAGAAAGACCGAGACTCAGAGGGATGGAGTGAATTGCCCATAGTCACACGACAGGAAAAGGGCACAGCAACCATTTCCATCTGAGTCCTCAGACTCCAAGGCCCTCACACGTGGCCAGGGACTAGCTTGGTAAGTTTTCTGTTCTCAGTGGGGGCCCGAGCACTAGGAGAGACCAATGCAGGGGAAGGCGAGGCCCTGTGTACCCCTCCACAGCCACACAGGAGGCTCCGGGCTCCGAGCCTGGTCATCGAGAACTGGTTCTGAGGAGTCTGCAGGCTCCGGGAGGCCCCAGGGGAGAGGGGGGATGGTAGATGAGAAAAGTCGAGACTGGGCGAAGCAGGCAGGCAGGATCAGAAGCGTCTCCAGAGCTTGACTGGGCTGCGCCGTGGACCATGAAACCACAGGTCTCTGCAGCACCCAGGCTGCTGGGAACTTGAAGGTTTGTCCCTTTGAACCACATAACTTTCTCTTCCATTTTAACCATTTGAGGGTTGAACCCCATGTAACCTTTGCTGATCCAGAGTTATTGTATGGGCTTGGGTTATAGTCCGCGATGCTGTAAGGAGTCACGTCCAACAGCAGCGGCAGAGCGAAGCCCAGGGGGAGACGGCAGGCACATGAGTGCCCCTGAGGACAGCATTAAGTAGAGGCCAGGCGGCCGAGCTGGCCCACCTCGGGCAAGTCATTCTCTGCTGGTAGTCTCAGTTTCTCATCTGTGTACTTGGGACCGTCATTCTGCCACCTCACCGTTGAGGCGTTGGGATGATACTGTGGAAAGCCAAGTGGAGTAGAGGCTGTTGGGTCAGTATGATTATTGATGTCGTCTTCCTCACCTGAGAGGCTGTGACTCTCTGGTTGCCTGAAGGGACCTGTTGTTGGCAGATAAAGCACCCGGTGATAGGAGACAATGGGAGCGGCTGAGGTAGAGGGACCCAAGTGCTATAGGTGCAGTGGGCCCAGGGCTGACGTGGGCCCTGGGCTCCTCAGACAAGGCCCGGCTCCTGTGAGGGGAAGGGCTGTGGCCCAGGGAAGGCATCCCATGACGGGTGCACCCTCCATCTAGGGTTTCCCTGGAGGTCCCTTCCGAAAGTCAGGTTCCCCGCTGTGCTGAGCTCCCAGTAGGCTCTGGGCTCCTGTCTTCCCCTGGGAAGGGGGTCAAAGCCCCAAGCTTTCAGAAACTGGCTCACATGTACTCAGGTGACCCCCACAGATAAAGATCACCTCCTGAAGTTTCAGAGAATCCTGCTTGCCTCTTCTACTTCCACTCCAAGAAAAATAGCAGACTCAAGGCCCCAAGAGGGTGGTGAGGCGGTGATTCCCCTCCCCCACCCTACTTTCTTTGACTTGCCCCACATGAGGTACTCTGGGGTT